CAACCCGAATAAAAAAAAATCCCTAACAAACACTGAACATAGTTTTCCCTATCTGAAAGTACAACAGGATTCCAGTATCAGTTAGGAGGTACATTCTATGATATACAGATATATCCTACTCTGGAGATGCAGTACCTTCGTCTCTTAAACTTTATCCCTGAGGAAACAAGGGTAACCATTGGGTCTCAGAGGAGGAGAAAAACTTATTTGCTCACTTACTAAATAGAGTGGTTGTTTGCTCATTTGTGTGCACCATTCTTACTTACCCACTTGCCTTCTTACTAGCTTACTCACTTGCTTGCTTGCTTACTTATTAACTTTCTCATTTGATTACTTACTGTTTATCTTTAACCTCACCTTTGCCCATCTTTAACTCTTTAAGCCCTGAGTTTTTCTACCATTTCCCAGAGTTTTTTTCTGCAGCCACCTACACCTAGTGCACTACGTCTCATTATAACCCCAAAAGCTTGCCTCCAACTTCAAAATCACGGAAACAAAGGCTTAGTCATTATTAAAAAACTTGGTTCGAGAATAGCTCAGAGAAAAAAATAAAACGAAACAGTTGTCATTAGTATTGGACGCTCCCAGCGTCCGAAGGGGAACAGGGTTGTTAACGCCAGACGCTCCCAGCGTCCGATGGGGTTCAAAGAGTTAACCTTACCTTTGCCCACATGACTCCATTCAGAGAGAGCTTATTCAGTTTCTGCAGATTGGCCAGAGTGCTCGGTAGTTCAGTGAAACAGTTGCCATTCAGGGACAGAACTTCCAAGTCGGTCAAATTTCCAATGTCTTCAGGCAGAGTTCTCAGCTGTAAGTGCTGTGCATACAACCGGTTCAAACCTTTCAGCTTGAACACCACTGGAGGAAACTCTAAGGGGCAGAAAAGAGACAAAAACTGTGTCCAATTCAAAGAAGTTAGTTGGTGAAATTTTACACTACAGAAGAAGAAAATGACTTTCTGAATCTGACATTAAACTTCGATGGTTGATTTCAGTCAAAGGTAGTCAGTTTGATGGCATGGGAACAACCCCCCATTTTTTAAAGGCCTAAAGTTTTATTTAATATGCAAACCCCTCTAAGAACTAGTGTGAATTTTCGAAGAAAAAAATAACTTCCTCCATGTCCCACCTACAACCCACGGTATTTTTTTGTTGTGCTGTACTAAATGACACATCATTATGTTAACCCCTTCACTGCTGAGACATATCCATCAACATCTGTACAGACAAGATAACACTTTTTATTCAAGAGAGATTGAAACAAAGGCATAGTATCTTTGGAAAGAAGAAAACAAAATAAATGCGTTTGAGATGTGATGTTACCTTAGGATGGCCAGAAAATATTGGAAAACAAAAAAGACAAACAATGAGGTGTAAGATTCTACACACAAGACATACCCTGGTGAATAGAATAAAATGTAGAAAAATACAATACTATGGCCACTTAAAACGACACGAGACCATTGAGAAAGAGGTGCTTGATAGAAAGATGAGGGGGCAGGAGAGCTGGAGGAAAGCAAAGAATAACATGGAAGGACGATTTAAGAACATGATATGGAGGAATGTACAACGGCAACTCATGACCGTAAAGAATGGAGAGTCATTACACGTCAAACTCTGAGTCAGATATGACACCTCCAGGTATCCAGGTATAGTATCTTTCCCCTTACTTAAGAAAACAAAACTGCACAGTTGTAATTACACCTGCTTATACTTCCCAGTAAACAAATGAGCAGAAAACCAGTTTTGGAGAATACAAACGAATATATACATCAACACAACAGTGAAGAGGTTAAATAAAACAAATGTTCAGTGGCGTTGGTGGCCTAGTGGTTAGGCTCTCGGACTCGCAACCGTAAGGTAGTGGGTTCGAATCCCGTCAAGGACCCGACGTTGTGTCCTTGGGAAAGGCATTTTACACGAATTTTCCTCACTTCACCCAGGTGGGAATGGGTACCCAGCTATAGACAGCGAAAGATCTTGTCAGTTTGTTAGTGTTTGAGCGCTTAATCAGCTGCTTGCACTGTATGCTTCCCGGGAAGCTGAGAATGTTTCGGAGTGTTCTATAGTCTGCTGGGGTAATAATATAGTGTAAAGCGCATAGAGCCTGCTGTTGAGTGGGGATATGCGCTATACAAATGCTATTTATTATTATTATTATTATTTGTTTTTATTTTGATATCAAGGCAGGAACTATGTTCATCAAGCTCAAGCACATTACATATATATTATTAAGGCCATATAAGAGTTAATTTAATCAAAGGAAAACCAGTTTGAACATATGATTTAAACTTAGTTAAAAAAAAAATTAATTCCAGATCTTGCATTCAAAAAGAATACAAAAATGTAAGGCAATTCAATTTGATGATACATAATTCTTTAAAAAACCTAGTCGAACCCACAATCATTTCACATCAAAACTCATTGAGATTTGCTCAGTGTCGCCATGACTTTGATGCTTTATAAAGTTATTGCCCACTAATAGGCTACAATGTTAGAGATGGAAATCAACAAAATATTTTTAAGAAAGAAATTTTTTTTAAAAACTGAGAGTGATGTAACAACGAGGTTTCCAGCTCACACAATAAAATGGGAGAGAGGAACGGAGAAAGAGAGGGAGGGAGAGAGAGAGACAGACAGAGGCAGACAAAAAAAAAGAGAGACATACAGAGACAGAGGGAGAGGGAGAGAGACAGAGGCAGAGCGAGAGACAGAGAGAGAGAAGGGGGAGGGAGGGAGAGAGAGAAAGAGAGAGAGAGAGAGAGAAATAGAGAGAGAGAGAGAGAGAGAGAGAGAGAGAGAGAGAGAGAGAGAGAGAGAGGGAGGGAGTGTGAGCAAGGGAGAGGGAGAGAGAAATAATAAAGAACTAAAGGAACATGGTAAAGTCATGGTAAAGTCTGCAAACAGCTATAGACTGAAAGGGTGTTCTTTCGCTGCGTTGCATCAGTTGGCGTATAGGTATTCAATCGATTAATATTGCTATGTAAAAATTACAAATATTCAACAATCAACTAACTGCTTTCCTCTACCATCAAGACATATTATAATGGTCAACAGTGCACATATCTCATTACCTGAGAAGTCATTATGTTCTATGTCCAGCCTCTTCAGTTCCTGGCAGTTGACCATGGTGTGAGGGAGTTCCTTGATTCGGTTGATGGCCAGAATAAGGGTGACCAGCTCCGTGCAACAGCCAAGCTCATCTGGAAGTTTCTCAAGCAGGTTGTTGGAAAGTCCAAGGTCCTTCAAATGGGGTATACCTGGGGTGCAGCAACAGTTAGATCTAGCTTTCTCTAAACTGTTTCTAAACAAAAATGTGTTCCACATTTCTAAAGCCTACTTAGTTTATATGTGAGTGAAGGAGGTGGGGGTTGCCTGGTGTCTTAAGTAAAATTAGCAAGAAAATGGCCGTTAAAGTTTGGTGACTTCTAAAGCTTGAGAGTCTTTGGAAACTGTAAATTTACATTTTTTAAAGTGCCTTTTTTTCAATGAAATGTGTTCAAAATAGACGTATCAGGTTTTAAGCCCAAAAAAAAAGTTGATTAAAATTCGATAAAAGCTGCCTGTCGAGCAAAAAAATGTCTGTTTCTTCAATTTCATTACTTTGACGAGCACCTGTTTCCACAATTATGCCACATATAGAAGGAGTAAGAAGTGATGATTGGGTCACAAATAGCTGTTCAAGATTTCTCTGTCCCTCTAAAGACTACTTGATACCATACACAAGAAGAGATTTCATTATTCCTTTTATCTCTCATAACGAGTAGCAAAGTTTTACAAAGCAACCAACCTATTAATTGAACTAAAAGAGGGAGTTTGACAAACTGACCCTTTAATAAATAACACTACCAAATTTATACCAAAAGCCACAACTACTAATTTCATTTACTGTTTTCCATTCAATCTTAAAACAGTGGCGTCTGTGGCCTAGTGGTTAGGCTACCAGACTCATAATTGAGAAGTTGCGAGTTTGGGGGTTCGAGCCGCGGGCCAGACGTTGGGACCTTGGGAAAGGCACTTTACACAAATTTTCCTCACTTCACCCAGGTGGGAATGGGTACCTGGCCATAGACGGTGAAAGATCTTGTCAGTATATTAGTGTTTTAGCGCCTATAGATGGCCGCTTGCACTGTATGCTTCCCAGGAAGTTGAGATTGTTTCGAAACACTCTCTGGTCTCCTGGGGTAATACTATAGATTGTGAAGTGCATAGAGCTTGCTGTTGAGCAGTGATTTGCGCTATACAAAGGCTATCTATTATTATTATTATTACTTTACTATTTTCCCACAAATGCGGACACGAAGAAAAAAAAAATGTGAGTCCTCACTTTTAAAAAGATCAGATGGGATTTCTGTCAGCTGGTTGGAGCTCAGATTCAGGGAGTAGATGAAGTGTGTGTACATGCCAGGTAACTCGTGGAACTTGCTGAGCTCTTTATCAACTTGCCAGGTTGCTTGATGGGTCTCACACATCATCAACGTCTCATCCATTAAGACTAGTTTGGTTGGTTTTAGACCTTGTGACGGGCCGTGCTGCATCATCAAATCCTGCCATTTCTGAAAGAAAAAAATACAGATATAAAGTTACCTAGTTAAGTCTTTTAAAAAATTTCATTACAAAGTAGACATCAATAATCACCATTTTTCAATGCCATTACAAAGTTAACATCAGTAATCACTTTTTTCCAATGCTATTACAAAGTTAACATCAGTAATCACTATTTTCCAATGCTATTACAAAGTTAACATCTATAATCACTACTATCCCCAGTTCTTTTCCTGCAAAGAAATAGAAGTAAATAGTCTGGATTACAAGGTAATAATTATCACAATTGTAAATGTTTTACATTTCCATTATTAGCCTAATATTTAGATGACTTACACAGAAGGCCACTTTGGGTCTACCTATTGGGGCCAACCCAAGTGGAGAAGGATGCAACAGCAGACGGGACAGAGATACTAAATTGAAAACCTATTTACGTGGGAATAAAACTCAAATTTCTTAGTGAAAAGGCAAAGCACCTCACAAATATGCCTCCGATTTCAGTGGAATACAAAGTGCAAGTAAAAAGACACACCTAGAATTAACAGTTCACATTCAAGGCAAGTCCATACTGGAGTCATCAGTTCATCCGTTCACACAGAAAACAGTACGTAACGGACACACATAAAAGACAGCATAGATACCTTTGCTATTGTGTCGTTTATGAGAGTGGAAACATCAAAAGCTTTTCCCAAGCTGAGAAACAATGCATCTCTAAATTGCTGAATGATCTTCATCAGTCCTGATTCAACCTGGAATTGAACAATTCAAAAGGTTACACTGTGCCGTGGTCCCGGGGCTGTAGATGTTGTATACAAAAGTGGAATGACAAAATCAAAGAAAACCTACTTTTATGTAAAAAATCTGGGGAAAAAAATAAAGTGCAGCCCTTAGTTAAAAAAATTCTTGACCTTGTGTGTAACATCCAGGCTCACAGTAATGATTACAGTGGGATCACAATTATGTCTCTCAGGAACAGGAAACAGTCCACTGTGATCACTGAGATGTGTGAGGATGTGGGGGTTATCATCAGTGCTTTTCACCCCTGGCAGGGTATAGGCCACATACAAGCTCCTGTGAGGGTTATACTTTACTTTAATATCCTTCATCTGTTAAATGTACACAATACAGATAATTTTGTCAACAATTCTCCTGTGCATATCATAAACATTCTTAATTTCCAATTAAACTTCACTGTTGTGGGAGGGGGGGTGGGCAACATTCCCATCACCAGCATGCTGTACAAAGAGTAATTAATTGTAAACCCTTTGAACCCTTGCCACTGGTACACAGGTGGCGCATAAAATTGCCCATATATCTAGCCTCGGGTACAGCGGTGAAAACAGCGTTTAATACACAAGATGTTATTGATTATTTTGAAGATCTTTCTGAATTAGATGCTGGTAATGGCAAGGACTGCCCTAAGTGAGATATGGAATGTCATTCTGACGATCTTATAAATCTCTGATATCAAAGAGTCTACATTACAAGAGGGTTCACTCCTCTCTTTGAGCCAATTAAAAAAGTGTCCTCAAAATTCGGTGGCGCCCTCTTCGTAAATGCGCACCCTTTTGGGACAGAGTTACCTCACTTGTGTGAAAAAAATCAAAGTGAAACTAACAAGTTTTTGAATAAATAAGAACTCAAATTTCGGAAGAATGCTTTTTTAAAAATAGTTACGCTGACAAAAAACCTCTTCCGGAGGAGGAGGCGACTGTTTCCTTCGCTTAATTTGACCTTAGAATGAGAGGTGAGAGGTCATTAAAATAAAAAAACCTAAAGCTCCGCACTGAACGAACCCGAACAGCTGATGAACACCAGTCGATCTGCGCACGCAAGGGTGTGCTATTCCTATTCTTCTTCTGGATAAATGAAAGAGAGCTTCAAAACAAAGACTGCAGCGCCATCAGAAGCAATGAGCGGACTTCCACGGACACTTTCTTGGCTGAGTGGACCATCTTGTTATGTACTATGTTGGTGATATTGCTCAGGAGCTCAGGCAAAGGAGCATGGCAGCCTCAGGACGTCAGGGCTCAAAGGGTTAATGCTTTGTGTCCCAATAGACACAATTTACATCATTTAAGAGGCGGGCTGCTTTAACTTTGCCTGCAAGGGCCAACTCAGGCTGAGAGGGATACAGCATCCCAGAAACAGACAAAATTACTTAATAAAACATCTCCCCGTACATGTTGAACCATAACACCACAGAATGCCCATTATCTATGAGTGGGCAACAAGAGTTTTTTGTTAGCTTAGTAAGAGTTTTACGGTGGTTGCAACTGCATAAGGTCAGATGAGCATGCGAAACACAAGTTGGTTGCATTCATGACAGTTCTTAGCACAGCTTGATTTTGGTCAATGATCAGATTAAAATGTTTAAAAATTCATGGTAAAAATCTCAACATTGAAATGACAACTTCAATAATATTAAAATAATCTTATTTAAATTGTAGAGTGCTTATTCACAGGTAGCAGAGATGTGATGAACACAGGAGGGTTGTCATAGGTAGAAGGCAATATGGAGAAAAAATTGTACCTAGCACTGGTTTCTCGAACCTTCCTTTAGTTTAGTTTTCGTAAGAGTTTTACGGCACTTGGAACAAAATAAGTTCATATAGAAGTGCCGAAGAAGAGATGTGTTACAAGTGAGTAACATACACAAAAAAATGGAGGAGATATAAGGACGATAGATGTTTGATAGTAAAGAAGGAGAAAACCACACCAGAGCAGCAACCAACCACCCATCAACCTTCCTTTGAGCTGAATCTTAATGTAATGTTGTCAAATACTTGTTAAATACCTTCTGTTAACAATAACATTTCTGCCTTTTATGGCTTTTGCAACACAACTAGGTCATACAAGTGTCGAAGATTAAAGGTGTTGCAAGAGATTAACAAACACCAAAAAAGGAGGAGGAGAGATCAGGATGATACATATGTTTGATAGCAAAAAGGAGCAAACCACACTAGAGCATCCGCCAACCATCCACATAAGATGTCCAACACACTTCTATCATGACTCACCTCCTGAACACTCATTTTATCAGCACCAGCAATCCCTTGAGTCAATGCTTTCATTTCCGGCAAAGGCTCCTGTCACAGACATAAAAAAAAGAAGTTCACTCATCCTCATTTAAAATATCCTCATATATCAGAAGATCTGTGTCCATTGAATGTATTTATTGCATAAGTTGATGAGTTCGCTAAATGGAATTGAGACTAAAACAAAGTCAGAACAATAAAAGTCCTATTTCGCATAAAAGCAGATAAGGACCAAAAAAACACAAAAAAACACACACGCACAAAAAAAGCAGCAGAAAGAGCAGATCACAAGGAATCACTGGATTTGCCAGACATACACACAACTGAGCCACTGAGACAGGACAACAACGAAGGAAGGACAAAAAGAAAAACTTGGCACTTGACTTTTATCTTACTTATGTGAGCATGATTTTTAGGAACACAATGAAGGACTGACTACTCTGAAAACAATTTCCTTCAAATACATCAAAGGCTAAGACAGCCATGTTTGTGCAGGTGTCTTTCCCTGGTCTGTGATAATTACTCTGAAATTGAAGTACTAACAGAAATATTGTTAAGCTAAAAATTTTTTCTAGACTTTCAATAAAGAGGTTTCGCATGACATGCAAAAAGCATTCCGCATCAACTATATTTTAAACCACAAGTGACCAAAATCAGAACCAACATGTTGAAATCGCAGCAGTATCAGCATCCAGGCCCACAGAAGACAGACTCCTGGTTCAGAAGTGTCCTCTGAGGGTTCAAACTCAAACCCTTCATTGTCCAGCATGTGCAGGGAGTGGAAGCACTCTACCACAGCCTGCTCCCGGCTGGATGGCATAGAAGACATGACAAGGCTGACGTCAGCTGAGGAGTGGGGCAAACAAACAGGAAAACAAGATAAGGCACATCTCCCATATAGTTCCCTAAATACTTAGTACAAAGGTTTTTTTTGTTTTAAAACAAGATGATAATCATCATCATCATCATCATCATCTTCATTGTACAAAGCAGATATTAAGACAATTAAGACCTGGAAGTATTTCCAAAAAATATTTTATCCAAAGTTCAACGTTTCGCCCTCAACAGGCTTCCTCAGGAACATTCACAAAATAAATGACAAGAATCTAGATCTACACATGCTAGAAAAACTAAAGTGCGTACATACATGTCACAACACTTAAAGGAGCAGTGAGTACAAATCGCAAGGGCCAGAGAGAAGGGAACACTAAGGCCAGAAGTGGTAGAGAGAGAGAGAGAGAGAGAGAGGGGGGGGGGGAAGAAACAGGTGTGTGGAGGTAAGGAATATAATAACATCATAATCATAATGAGGGCGTGACATCTGCTAGATTGCCTGAGTGCGCGTATGTTACATGTACATGTTCCTGATGAAGCCCTTTACAGGGCGAAACATTGAACTTATATTAAATTTGAAAAACATACTAAGTCTCAAACCCTTTTTTGATTCCCTGCTACCTACAATAATCATAATGAGGATGATGATGATGATGATGATGATGATAACGATATTGATAATGATGATAATGATGATAATAATGATAATAATGTTAATGATGACGATAATAAAGATCAATTCTATAGCACCCATTCCCTGTAGGCTTTATGTGCTTCACAATATAAAAAAACAAAAACAATTCCAATAGCTAACACTATGACACATTTTATTAAAACTGGTCAATTTAACGCACAACCTTTTCATATACACATGCACTTATAATCTGAAAAAAGAACACATACAAGAGATAACAATCACTATGGCCGCTGATCACAATTATCGTTGAAAGAAGAATCAAACTTGCTAGTCAATTAGGATTTAAATAAATCTAAGATAAAGCACACCTCTCATATACTCTGCAGCATCTTCAAGGGCAAGTACAAAAAAATATTTTTTTAAACAAATATGAATCCCATCTCAAGTATGCTATCTTCATCAGTTAGTACAAACAAACCAAAAAACCCCCAAAAAGTAAAGGTAAAACACTCCTCCCACATAGTACCACTGGCTAGGCCCCCTTTCGATGAAAGGAATGATCGGAGCATTAACATCAACTGAATATCATTGGTCTACTATATTTACACTCTACTGGAATGGAGCAATAAATCTTGAGAGAAAAGTGACACATGTGTTTCCAAGTTGCCAAATATATATTAGATGCACAGATTGATTCTCTGTTCCGCTTTCGTGGTTGTACACTCCAGAATTTCAAAGGTGTGGAATGAGTGCGCACTCATTGTGAACGGAAGCCTCACGTGTTCACAATGGCGTCTACGAAGACGTACTTTCCCAAGATTAGATCTAAACAAAACTAATGAAAAACTGAAAATTAAACTACAGTGACTTCATACTCCTCAGTAAAACTGTGCCCCCTGTAAATGATTCTGAATCACCGTTATTTTTTTCAAATTCGAAAGTTAAGTGGTTCGGAAGTTTTAGGAAGGCGAAAGTGACGGACTTTCACAAATATAATATGTATAGATGAACAGCTAGTAACAAAAAGTAAAAAAAAAATAAAAACACACTTCCTTTTTGATGTGTGCTGACAAAATAGGTTAATTCTTAGATTTTAGCTCTTTGGACACAGATAGAAACAGCAAATGTGTGGGTTGGGTTTGCATAATTTCTTTAATAAAATGATAAAAGACATTTCAGCTTTAAGAAAATGGCTTCAGATTAAAATCAACAAATTTGATGCGTCTATTTTCAGCTGACATTTCCATTCGTGGACTACAAGAAGTAACTCATTTTGTCAGCATGCAACACATAATAATTTGGTTCTTTCAACAACTAATACAATCAAACAAACAGCAACCCAAAATAGGACACATCCCTCAGACAGTTCTTTCAACACCAAGAACAATCAAACAAAAAAGAAAAAAAGAAAAGGGAAATCTCTTCTGTTGCGAATTAAAACTCTGGAAGTCTTAGTCTAAGAGAACCAACAACGTTTGCTCCAAGCTGAGTGAATATGACAAACTTTCTGAATTTTTACTAGTCTTTGATTAACTCTTTAAACCCCATCAGATTCTGGGAGCGTTCAGCAGTAATAACCCTGTTCCCCATCATACGCTGCCAGTGTCCAATACTAGTGACATCTGTTTCGTTTTATTTAGTGCTAGTTTTTGTTAGTTTTTCGGAACTATTCCCAAACCAAGTTTTTTAGTAATGACTAAGCCTTTGTTTCCGCCATTTAGAAGTTGGAGGCAAGCTTTTGGGGTTATAATGAGACATAGTGCACAAGGTTTAGATGACAGTAGAAAAAAACTATGGGAAATGGTGGAAAAAACTCAGGGTTTAAAGAGTTAATCAAGTTCTTTATCATTCTAAAGCAGCAAAAGAAAATGGACTTCAGGCAAAGCAAAATTATGCCTTCACCTCAAAATTATCATCATACTTCTCTTCAAGTCAAATCTATAAACACAAACACAACCCACCAGCATCTGTAGTGTGACACTCCTGCAATTCACCATCCCACACTGAAGACCCGAGTTTGATTCTCATCTAGGAAAATTTTTTACCAATTATCTCAGTCTTTCTGCTGGGACTTTGTTTCCTTTCAACCTAGGTTGGCCCTGGCAAACACTTCTTAAATTATCTAAATTGTGTCCATGGGGGTGTAAAACACCTACAATTTTTTATCTTTTTAAAAATACACAATAAAAGATCTCACCTCTGAAGTAGCAAAGAGGATGAAGTTTGAAGCTTCTTGTGAACACCTCATGGGAACTTTGGACCAAATTGTCCATCGTCAGACTCTCTGGTAGAACCAGGAGGGGCAACACTGGGAGAAATAAAAAGGAAAAGAAACTAACAGACTGCTTTAGTCATTCTTTTGGGTCAGCCTGGAACGTAACGGCATTTATTTAAAAGGAATATAATATTAATAATAAGGATGCTAATAATAATAATAATAATAATAATAATAATGATAATAATAATAAAAATAATAATATGGTAGCCTCTGCCTAAGATATCGGAGTAGGTACACAACTGGTAGAATGATCTCCCTTTACTCTAAAATGAACTGGTGTGACCCCTGGGTGGGTCTATGACTTATGGCATTCAAAGAGAGATCAACCTTGATGACTAATCACAGTGGCATGACATATGCCATTTTCACTTGTTATCTATGATTATCCAGTTGCTCCTCCCCTTTACCTGTCCAGAATTTATAGATTTTCATCTCTGATAGAGTTCCCCTGCCTTTGTCATTAGATACCATTGTGTTGTGACCAGACCAATTAAAATTCAGTTCATCTCGTAAATTCAAGGATAGGGACAATTGCTGAAATGGTCAAGGAAGAGTTCACAGTTTGATGTGATCCCGCCTGCAGAGAACTTGTAAGCCCTTACCACCCAGCGTGTGATGTAAGTTTAGGTGGAGAGCTCAGATAAGAATGTGATGTTTGGGGGGGGAAAAAACATCAGCGAATTCACACCGAGGTGTGATCCCATTAGAGGCAAACATTGTACTGTTTCATTGAGAATATTTACAAATGAAATGTGATCACATTCACAAAGTGGATGATCTGTGACACCATGGGCAGTTCAATAATCTCAAATTTTCTCTCTTGGTTGATCTTTTATGTCCGTCCGGGTTTTTGTTCCGTAAATTACGATCTGAAATGAGGGATCTGAGCCAAATATAGATATGTTTACCAAATTGTAGAGGAAAAAAATCTTTCTCACTTTCACCAGTCAAATTATTTAGCAGAATAAATTTAGCTTAAAAAAAATATCTTAAACCATAAAAATGTATGTTTGCCTTTCTTTTATTTGATGTATCTAGCACATAACATCACAAGTGAGCTATAGCTCTTCAAAGAAATGAATCGTGTCAGTCAAAGTTCCCAGTGTATTTTTCATAGCACACAGGGGGCAGGGGCGGAGGGTTATGATAGCAGTGCCTAATGAATTTATGAAGTGCCTAAAAATGTGAAACTATACAGTCCCTAAAAGGCTCTAAGTGCTGTGCAGCGTGAAATCATTATTCAATAAAACTGAAAGAAAAACAGAAAATGTACATTGAGAGACCATTTATCAGAGCACACATGCACACACACACGCATGCACACACAAAAGAATGCACGCACAGAAGCACGCACCCATGCACACATAGACTCACTCACATTCTTCCATACCAAAACTACTAGTAGAGTACAGAGTTGAACAAATGTTCCGTAAGACTTTCCACAAATTGTTAGAAGTTATATCCCATTCCATAAAATATTTCTGTTTCATAATACACCTTTCTTAAACCTAGCTGGTCTGATAAAGACAGCATTTCTGGTGCTTGCAGAGCTTCACACCTAAAAGCTTCAAATCGTGTCTCATGTTGAGCTACAAATTACATAGGACACATCTCAGCAGTCACTATCTCAAAACCCACAGTTATCAATGTGGTTTCTGGAATCATAATCATAATAATATGATATTATCATAAACAATCTAAACACAAATACAAATTTGAAATGGGTTAGATAACAAAGAAACAAAGAAAAGCGAAGAGTTTTTATTACCACCAAGGGTTTAAAAAACAAAGGTTGCTTGTATTCTAAATTGTAGCCTGACTTTCTGATGGAAAGCTCAGTACCTTGCTGATAGCACCCGAGGAATACATACCTCATCTGTGATAGAAATGGAACACTCCCTTTTGCATTGAATATTCATGACAGATATGAAAAACCTCTTTACAAGTGTTATATAGAGAAAAAAATAACAGAATCTCTTGAATGCATTGCTCACCTGAGAAGTTCCATTTTCCCTCAGTGTAGAGAATGCTCTCAACTTTGTCTCGAAGTTGAACTTGCCTGGCATATAGAACTGAAATGTGGAATGAAGACAACAAACACAAGTGTTCTAGTTCAGATGGTACAAAAGAGCATAGGTGTATCAACATCTAGAGTAGAAAAGAAATGTCAACAAATCATGAGTACAGTTGTTATAAGGATAGAACTGCCGTAAGCTGACAAAACGCCTTTTTTCATTTTGGTGTCAAATTTTCTTTATTTACTAAATCGAAAGCCTGATCAGTTCTCCTACTTGTGTGAAAAAATCAAACTGAAACTGTGAATAGTTTTTGAATAAATTAAAATTCTAATTTTGGAAGAACTCTATTTTTAATTGGTTACACTGACAAAAAAACTCTTTTTCTCAACACTTTTGTGAACAAAAAAAGGCGTTTCGTAAGCTTACGGCACAGAACTGAAGACAGGCAAACATTCTTTGCAAAACTTGGGGAGGCAATTCATAAGCCGGAATGAAAGACAGAATTTGCTTACCAATTCTAGAAACTTCTAACAATGGCAGGATACAGAATTGAGTCTAAGTAACCCCATTTTCCACAATAGAAAACTAGGAGGCAGGATCTCAGATTCATCATTTATGATGATGGTGGTACCGGTAATTAGAAAGACTGAAATTCTTTACCTGAAGGAAAGTGCACAGGGGTACAAGGCATTATCAAGTCATCATGTAGCTTTTTCAAGGCTTCTGGTCTTTCCTTCTTCATCAGGGCTTGATAACCACAAGGCACTTGGAACTAGGCAGAAAAAACAATAATCTGTGTAAAACACTGACATCTTTTCATGACAGATATCTAAAAAAAAATCACAATTATTATGCTGTCATTACCAGCTCCTGTTTTCTTTACTCATCCTACAAAAATTAAGCATTTTGTGAACAAAATGTTTCAAAATGGCCTTTATCTGTGAGCGGACAAGAAACAGTCTAACAGCCACCTGTCCAAGGCAATCACTTATACAAACTACCATTCAACACTTCCTCCCTTGCATTTGACATTGTCCAAGACATCCACCTGTCAAAGACAACCACCTTCTCCTCAATCGCGGTTAGCCATCTTGGACAATATCAACTGTCCTCTACTTCAATAGACACCATTTTTGACATTTAGGACAAAATCCGTTTTACCTATGCAAACAGTTATAATAACTAAAATGCTGTTGTCATGCATACTCATCTTTATGCCTTATTCTAACAACAACAGCAGTTAAACTGCATTCAAAACACTGCGTCGTGTTGTCTCTCAGTACAAAAGTTTTGAGCTGCAGAAATAGTGCTGTTGGTAAGTTCAGAAACATGAATCATTAAAAAAAAGACGACTGTTTTGAAAAATATTATTTTTCAATGTTCAAAGAGATAAACTTCATTCAAACGCCAAGCTTGGCTCAATGCCCATTTGGTTTTATCCCATTCCTCTTTTTCTTTCTTTACTCTTATCCAATAAAAGCCACTCTTTCTCTTAATTTCCAAAGAATACACTTGGATTTTGCTTCATTTTTCTTGCCGCAGCAAACCCCAACACTACATTTCTAAATATACCCGTGTTAAGACAACTAACCTTTTTCACTCACTTGTCATTTACAAGATATGATCATTTTACTTTCCTTTTGTATACTTACTTTAAAGAAAGACCATAAAGGTACTGGAGTCTTCTGTCCTTGATCTTTACCTGGTACAGAATGTTGAAAAAAAAGAAGAAACATATTCAAAATTCATTTACATTTCAAGAAATGTAGACATATCCTCTTTTTACTGCAATAAGCAGGCGATGGAACACTGTGTAATAGTGCACACAGGCTAGTGAACAAGAAAGCGATGTTCTGTTTACCTGTAATATTTAGCGAGTGAAACTTTGAACAAGACAATCGTGTAAATTTAAATGTAAAAGTAAGGAACAGCAATTATAATCATAAACTACAACCAATAAACAAGTGGAGGCACTTAAAGAGAAGTAGATCAGCAGCTGGTGACTGTCACGACTAAGAGGGGTGCAAAACAGTAAAAGCAACATTCAAGTGAATGTCACAAAAAAAATAAATAAATTTTAAGACAGTTGCAAAATCTCACCAGAAAGTTCTGCTGAAGACAAAGCAGTTCCCAAAGCTTCACTTGTCCCGTCAGGCATGAGTTGATCACTGGAGTAGATGAAATGTCGTTCCTCTCCATCAACATCTGGGGCAACATAGAAACAAAACCTCGACTAACTGCTCTTCCATGATTTTCACAACCATAAAGCCCAAACAAGATCTATCCTAATTTTCTATTCAAATCTGAGAGTATCAAAATTCACTCAGGGATCAGAGGAAAGGAAATAGTTTTTGAAACCTCCAGATTTTGTCACATGCCAGTGCAAGAATTGAACTCATTGCCTCCACTGTTTGAGCCAGCACCATACCACTGTGCTAGGGTTTTGTAACCAGAGGGGCTAAGCGTATGGGTAAGCCACAAGACATAATGATCTCATCTGATGGCCTGCAAAGAGATTACTACATGCTTTGCTTCAGGTTTATGCTTCAGACAGTTATCTGAAAACATGAGTCTTTGAGAAAAATGAACAGATAAAAGGAGGAAATGAATTACAGAAAGCTCTGCCTTATACTAAATGACTCACATACCCCTCTTAAATTACCACCCATCTCCATTCCCTCCTACCCATAGGCATGCATGCACCCTTGCACGCACGCACACACGCACGCATGCACACATGCACGCACCCACACACACACACGCACGCATGCACGCACACACAACACACACATACCTACACATACATACATATAAACACATACACAAACACACACACAAACACACACATTCTTTAATCAAAAAGATGAACCGGGATAACAAATATGAAATCAAATTTGAGTTTCTAACAAAATAATTAAAATTGTATAGAATTTCTGGTTTTTGAAGCTTTTGGAGTCTTTGACGAACAAAATTAAATTCCATGAGAACAGGAGCAAATGCAAGCATAGAACTGAGATTTTGATGAAATGAAGCTATAAAGCTTTACATTTTGACCAAAAAAGGGACCAAATTTCGTGCTTTGCTCTCTAGATAAAAAAAAAGAGATGGAATCAGGAAAAGTCCATGAGAAGCATGTTTATACCATAAGCTTGCCATCAGATACATTGTCCATAGCATCAGCTTGCCATCAGGTAGGCCTATATTGTACTTAGGCTCGAGAGTGAGTCTGATGTTTGCACAGCTCTTTCTCACTTTAATCAAACCTTTGCGCAAGTCAGACATAAGAGAGAAGCCCGCGAGCTGTGCACATCCACAAGTGAGAGTGGACCTTTTAAATATTCAAAATGTAACACACTCTTCTCAGCCAGAATTGGTCTCATCAGCCATAGCAGAAGCCACAAGTCACTGAAACCTTTAATTCTTGTCATTCTATTCTATTGCAGAAATATGTATTGCCCATTGTCAGACTTTGATAGACGAGCTGCTATCATTACTATAATCAGCTCACCAAGAACAAGGTTTCCATTAGGCTGTCTCTCTTTAATGACTGCTCTGTGTGCACCTGATCCTTCCAGGTTCACTTCCAGGGTTCTCCCAGGCTCAAAGTCACTGTGTCCCAAACTCCAGGAGCTCTGGAGTATCAAACAAGGTTAAAGAAAAGAGCTTATTAGGAAGAAATACACACTGAAAGTGAAAAAAGATGACATTGTCAGTATCATTCTTGATTCTGCAATCACACTCATCATTTTCTATAGGTTTCAAGATACACATGATATTATTCAAATTAAAATTAAGACATAAAGGGAGCATCTTACAAAACAGTTTGGTATTTTTTTTAGTTTCCGTAGTTCCTTTTTAGTTTTTAATTGAAAAATCGCAAGTGCCCAAGTCATGCATTGGATTTGGGAGATTTTTTTCCTATAATTTTCTCAAAACTTGAAAAACTGGCAGGCATTTGATGAATGACGCTGACAATATGAAAAAAGGAAAATTGAGAAATGAGATCCTTCCTTCCCTCCCTCCCTCTCTCTCTCTTCACTGAGAATTTAAGATTTTTCAGTAAAATTGCTTTTTTCATTGTATGTTAATTTTCATGCAATAATTTCAACCCGAGAGGAAACCTCAACTTCCTTAATTTTAATAATTTGATGCTAAAAAAAAATTAAGGTTTCATCTCCAGCTTTTGACACTCATGCAAAAAATACATTTTTATAGTACTACTTTTGCTTAACAGACCCAAAACTTACCTTAATTCCTGGGATATTGATGATGTAAATGCCTGCTTTCTCAGACTTCATATCTATCTTCATGTGCCACCCATCCACTTCCTCAGTGTGAACCAGAAGACCTCTCAGAATAATGTTGACCCTCACTCTCTCCCCAAGCTGTTAAAATGAAAGTCATCACAAGTCAACATTAATGAGCATGTTTCCTTTTGTTCATCTCTTTATTACGCTTCAACAACTTTTTTCCCGACTCTGTTAATATCTCCAACATTGCATAACACGGGGGGGGGGGGGGGGGGGGAGGACAGACAGTAGTACATTCAGTTGGTATTATGCCGGACAACTGGGAAGTACTCCTTGGTTGCAAGAGCCCAACAAGAGATAATTTTGTTTTTGTTTTAACAGTTTTATGGCACTTGCAACACAATAAGGTTATATACATGCTAAAGATTAATGGGGTTACAAGAGAGAAACAAACACAAAAAAAAGGAGTGATAAGGATGATAGATGTTTGATAGGAAAGAAGGAACAAACCACACCAGAGCACCCACTAATAAGAGAGAGTAGACAAAGAAAAACAAAAGCAAAGAAAGAGGTAAAAAATAAGACTCACATCCATTAAATCTGTTTCCTGTCATTGCTTTTCGAAACACAATGAATGCTGTATGTGATAAGTATGATTTGTGTCTACACAAGTTAAGATAAGACAAAAAAAAAGAAAAGAAAAAGAATAGAAATGATGAACTAACACAGTATCATTTTAAAATTGACAAACGAGCCATACTCCTAAGAATAACTTTATCGACAAAAAACGGTCAGCTAGTTTGAGAGGTCAACAGTGACTGAAAACGACACATAGAAATACAGACAGAGGACACAGCTTAGGTGTCTGACACACTGAATGACTGACACTCTCAAATGCCATGAAAGACGATACAGCAAATGACCGTAGTTGTTACATTCTTCGTTTAATCTGGTGGTGTGGTGCTGGAGACTCCGTTCATCTTTGTGTGCCAGGCTGTGTTAATCAGCGAAGAGTAATTCATTTAGGGCGTCAAGCTCTGTGTTGGCCTCTTTTGTACTTCTATCCATATATATGATAAATAGTAGTGGTGATAGGCCACAACCTTGTCTTACTCCGTATGTTATTTTGAACCTTTCTGTGAGTCCCTCTGACTTTGTTACTGTAATTATGCTGTTCTGGTAAATGGTACAGATGTTATCTAGAAGTTGGCCTCTTACAGTGTAGTTTTCGAGTTCTTTCCACTGCTTGAATGAACAGAGATGCAACAACAAGAATATTACTACTCACAGCACATTTATAGGGTTGAATTATTCTGTTATTTCAAGATGCGGCTACACTTTTGCTAACCTTGACTGGTTCCAGCTGGATTGTGATAGAGTTTGCATCTCTGCTCTTCCAGTTTTCATCAGTGTGAGTTTTTCCGTCCTGGTCGACAAAAGCCCCTGCCATGCCTTTGTACTCCAGTTGCTTCCCTGAGCCACTATTCGTGGTTGGATATGCATGGACAGTAGATTGAAGCATTAATGCCATTAAAGAGAAACTTGAAACATTAAATGTTGTGGTAAGAAAATCTACACCGAGACCTCTAGCCATGGACGATAAATGCAATAAGATAAGAGGTTGGTATTGAAAACAGGATGAGAGAGAGAGAGAGAGAGAGAGAGAGAGAGAGAGAGAGAGAGAGAGAGAGAGAGAGAGAGAGAGAGAGAGAGAGAGAGGGAGGGAGAGAGAGAGAGAGAGGGAGGGAGAGAGAGAGAGAGAGAGAGAGAGGGAGAGAGAGAGAGAGAGAGAGAGAGAGAGAGAGAGAGAGAGAGAGAGAGAGAGAGAGAGAGAGAGGGAGGGAGAGAGAGAGAGAGAGAGAGAGAGAGAGAGAGAGAGAGAGAGAGAGAGAGAGAGAGAGAGAGAGAGAGAGAGAGAGATACAGACAGACAGACAGACAGACAGACAGACAGACAGACAGACAGACAGACAGACAGATAGAAAGACAGACAGACAGACAGACATAGCAAAGGGAACATGAAATTGAGAGAAAGAGATTGAAAGAGAAGGAAAGATGGGCAGAAAGAGAAGCACAAGCAGCCTGGAAAGAAAATCTAAAAAAGAAGGATGTTGAGAAGGAGATGAAGAGAAAATAAGTGGGGTGCTGTACCATAAGGACAGAGAGCTCATAAAAATTCAGTGAAAAATAATTATCTGCCATAATGATACACATAGAGGTTACATGCAAGCAGAGGTACCCACATCCCCCATGAAAGAAAAAAACATTTATAGGTTCTAAACATTAATTTACAAAAACAAAATCCATGTTCATTTACAAAGTCATTTTCAGCAATGTTTTTCCTCACAGCTCCTAAACTATTAAAAGCAGGGGAAAAAATACAGATGCTGCTTTTGATTTAATCTTTATCATCCATAACCAACACTGTGTCTCACACTCTTTCATCGTTCACATCACACTCTTCTCCAACATTCCTCCTGCAAAATGGAAAGGCAAAAATACAACTAAAAAGAAGAGCTCAATTCTGTCTTCAATTCAATTAAAATATGCTGCAATTTTGGTGTTGTTTTGGTACTTTTTTCTTTCTCAGTTTTTCACAATGAAGGTATTAGAGGCAAAATGTTTGCAGAAACTTACAAAGACATGCGGCAGAAGAAAGTGGCACCCCGTAGAATGGTAATCCGAGTCTCGTTCCAGTAGATTGGATCCATTGGTTTGAGGAACTGCATACAATGTCCTTTTTTGTAGTAAAAAACGCTGCCTGCTGTGTTGCGTTTGATCCTGTCATCATCTTTTAACTCACCGTCTCGGATTAGTTGAATCTTGAAGGAAGTGTTTTTCAGATAGCCCGGCTGAAGAGACTTAGCAATTTTCTGAAAAATGATCAACCAATATGACTGTTCATTGCAACACATACATGAATTTTCCTTCAAAAGGTAGGTCTGATACAGACATCAACTACTATGGTTTGTCACTTATTGCTCCACTCAGTTGTTCTTTAAAAAACGTATATCAGCCTGGTCTTTTCCCGTGAACCAATTGTTTAAGTTCTCTGAGTACGTTATCATATGTAGGCCTATGTATCAACAATAAAGTATTTTCAAATCTAGGTGTTGGTAAAGTAAGATGAGATGTAATTAACATCAACAAAATAATCCAAGCTAAACAGGTTGCAAAAATTAGGACAGATAGAGTAGAGCTAAACTTTTATAAGACCACATTTGCTTGAAATAAAGAGAAGCACATGGGCAAATCAATAGTCAATATTGTCGGTATCGTAGGACATCCACTTAAGTCTGATTGATATTTTTTACAAAGACAAAAAGCTAGACTTTGTTGAGTTTTGCCTATCACGTATCATGAAAAGCAAGAAAATTGTATACCTTGACCATGTCATTTAAATGCATTTTGGTGATGTTGAAAGGTACATCTTTGATGAACCTTTGGGAGGGTGTAAACATTGAAAATTCTCGAAATATTAGCCTCAGTGAATTGCTTGTGACAGCGACAATATCTTTGTCTATGTTATCACCACTTGTTTTGATGTCAACAGCTTGTCAAACAATGTATTGTCTTCATGTTTGTTCCATAATCTTCCATAAAATTCTTCCTATTTTATTCATACACTTTCGCTTTATAAGTTAAAAGAATAAAAAAATACTTGTGTTTCAGAGAAACTTGATATCCCTGATTTTTAATCGTATTCTTTTTGTCAGTTTATTATGTTCAGCTAATCTTGTATTCAAAGGATAACCACAGATTGTTTACCTTAGATCTGTTCTCTAAAAAGAATAACAAGAAACCATTTCTTAATGGCTGTGTCCCATTTCTGACAGGGGCCAAAATTGATTTAAAAAAAACAAATACGTGAAAACATTGTCAGTATATTGTTTCTTTTACCGCAAACTGGCAGCAACATTCCAAACACATGAGGCAATGAAGGCAGGGAGTGTCCAGCAAGGAGCCACAATAGAAGCATCTGCAAGTTATAAGACAAAATGCATCTTTCTCAAACACAGTATCCAGCCAGTGTGATAAAACCATAGAGGTCTTTTAAAGAATTAAACATTCTGTTTAGAATACATCAACCGCACAGTTAAGACTGCCATACGTCCCTTTTCAAGATGGTGTGTGGCTGAGTTTTATATTAAGCAGTCGATATATATATATATATATGTAGAATGTCAATCATCCCATGCTTTAATCTGTACAAGACCAGAAAACAAAAAAACTTGTATATATTCAAATGTTTCATCAACAAAAGTATTATTTATGTAACTCTTTAAAAAAAACCAAGAAACTATACTGCAGATTCGTAAAAAAAATATGATAGTAGGCCTAAATGAACAACACAGATGAAAAGGCCTGTTCAGCATCATTTTATGGCAGTAAATTTCTTTCATCATCCCTGGACAGTAAACTTGCTGCTAGTCACTCTATGCTACTACCTTTCTGCTGGGTCCATTGGACGATGTCTTTCTTTCTTGATTCTGTTTTCCACCACTTTGGAAGCTGCCATGTGGTATGAGTAGTTGTGGTAGGGTATAATGGGTCCCTCTGAAGAGAGCAAAGAGAAAAAAATGGAGGAAAAAAACAACATTTCTGTAACTTTGAAACCAAAGTCTAAATATGGTAGGGGGGATTAAAATATTTTGGGCAACAAACTCTCTGAGCCCTCTATTTAATTTGTTCTCCAAAATATGTCATCACATACAAGAGTAGCTCATTAAAGGTTCAGCCCGAAGCCGTTATTTCCCTAGCCTATCTCCTTTGTATTTATCAGCAAATATGAGACCTCAGAATGTGGAAGTCTTAAGCTTCACAAACCAAAAGTAAGTTCGTATATTAGGCAGAGCCAGTACTACATCTCGTGAAGACATGCCAACTCAAAACATGTTAAACAACTGCACAACTGAATTGTCATTATCATAAACTAGGTCTTGTAGTAACACTTAAGGCCACACTCTACTTCTCGGCACCAAAATCTACAATTAAGAGATTTTTACTTATTTTTTCTCATTTTCTCAAAGTATTCCTTTCAAGGATTGAAAATAATCAGTTTTGGGAATCACTACCAGTTACATAATCATGGAAATGGCAAATTAGAGTAGAATCGAGCTATCTGTAGGACCATTTTCAAAAAAACCTGTAAATATCTATAATTTTATATCTTTTAGAAGATGTGCATATTAGCGAATGACAAAAATAGTCAAAATAGGAAAGTAAAAAAATTATTTTAAATACATTTTTTCAAAAATTTAAAAAAAAGCTAGCGTCATTTCATTTGGAATTGCATGGAGCACCTGCCCTCTAAATTTCAAGTTTTGATCTTGAGAGATTTTTGAGTTTTTAGCTTTTAAAGCCAAGAAATTAACATTTTGAGGAAAGGAGCAAAAACATTTCAAAATTGCTTTAAAGCTTTGTATTGGCTCACAATGTTTCAAACTTTCAGGAGCTATCTCTTTGAAATAGAGCTTTGGGAGTACTTCCATCCGATTTAGCACATAATTTTCAAGAGAAGTTTCTTAAAACCAAAAAAACATTGTCTGGGCCCAAACTGGATCCCCAAAACCCCGTGTGTGGCCTTAAAGGAGCAAACATTCCATACAAATAAAAGCGAGGGTAGAGCAACATTTTTGTTTGAATTATTGAGAAATCCAACAATATCTATGACGGACAGAAACGAACCACAGAATAAAACTTTAATTGAAGGACACATTTTAATAAAAGCAAAATGATAAAGTTTTAAACAGTTAACACAGAACTTGAAGTTAAAAGTAAACATCATTTCGCATTCATCAGTCCATATCACACAATAGTTCTTAAAAAAAAAAATGAACAAACAAAAAACCCAGAACAGAACAGAACAGAACACGACTTCAAATCACCTCCGTGCTCTTCTGTAAGATCGCACAAAAATGAGCAATTGATTCGCTTGTGCTTTTTGCACCCTCTGTGCTTGCTGGCTAAGGAAATATAGTATGGAAGATGCCAAGTCTTTTCAGCCAGCATTCCTTCTGTTTCAAATTCCCCACATTCTGGGCAAGGCAGGGTCCGCTAGCGGAAAAAACAACAACCAATAGTTATGATCTGAACGATATTACTATAGTCCCCCCAAAAAAGTGGGTACACATATCCATATCGCCTCTACCATCTTATTTTTTATTCCTGCCCACTCGACACCCCTTTCTCCTTTATTTCATTCTATTACAATATTACAACAATTTTCCTACTTCTCCTCCTCCTCCTCCTCTTCCTCCTCCTCCTTCTTCTTCTTTGTCTTTTCATCATCATCATCTTCTTCTTCTTCTTTTTCTTCTTCTTCGTCATCTTCTTTTTCTTTTTTTCCTTTTTCATCATCACCATAATCATAATTTATAATCATCATTATCATCTACACATTCTTCTTTCATAGATAATAATGATCATAATAATTAAAAGAAAGAGAAAGATTTTTGGCACTTACAGCAGCATAAATCTTTGTTTTTTGACAAGCGTAGTCAACAACAGCCATGACTTGTTTCAAGCCAGAGAACATCACGTGCCGTACTTCTTGAGTCGCTTTATGCCGATCCTCCTCTGTGGAGCGGAACCTTTTGTCCATTCGCAAGTCCACCACTCGAGCAGACAGAAACAGGACAGGGACCCCTGTGAACACGATCAGACAAATTATGTCCCTTGAACACAGCTCATGATAAGATAATTATGTCCCTTGAACACAGCTCATGATCAGACAATTATGTCCCTTAAACACAGCTCACGATCAGACAATTATGTCCCTTGAACATGGCTCACACTTTGACGATTACATCTTTGATCAAAGCTCGCAATTAGACAGTTATGTTACAGAACAGATCACAATTAGACAGTCATGTCACAGAACAAAATCAACCATTTGTGGGTCATGAAGACAGTGCATAATCAGAAACTTTGTCTCATGAACATAGCACACATTCAGACATCACTGATAATATCAGCACCCACTTCTGATTCCGCGTCCTCATTTGTGGGTTTTTTAAATACAGAATTTAACACAATTTTGGAGAGCTGTTAGTGTGACCTCTAACATGTTAAGGTTTTAAAATATTTTTTAAACATACAGTAAGTTTCAAAAAAGCAAATATCATTTTTTCTAATATGGGTACTTTGCCTTGAGATACAGCTATCTATTTCAAACAGTAATAAGAGTCTGAAAGGGTAAATCTATCATACTCACTGTCCAATCTTCCCCCCACATATCTGTGCAATGATGCCATGATATCCACAGGGCCCTGTCGCAAGAAAAAGCCTGTCTTCCAGACAAGCAGAGGCTGGAAAATCTTAAGAAGGGTCCTAAAGGAGAACAAGGAATACAATCATAAAACCATTCCAATGGGTTTTAGTCTGAGTAATGATAATAATAATAATTGCATTTATACAGCACATATCCATGCTCTAGAGAATGCTCTATGTGCTTTACAACTATTATTACCCCAGCAGACCCCCTGAGAGCACTCAGAAACATTCTCGGCTTCCGCGGAAGCATACAGTGCAAGCTGCGGATTTCACGCGCTCAAACACTATCAAACTGATAAGATCGTTCACTGTCTATAGCCGAGAACCCATTTCCACCTGGGTGAAGTGAGTAGAGAGAAGTACATTGATATGACAACTAGCATGAAGTACTGGAAAAGAGGAAGACTGACAGGCAGAAACAAGAGAAGGAAATAAAGAAGTAAGGCATATCAGGAGCATCCTCAAACCATCCACAGCATGAGTTTCCATGTTAAGACGATTTATAGTTAATAATAATAATAATAATAATAGATAGCATTTGTATAGTGCGAATACATGCTCAACAGCAAGCTCTATGCACTTCACAATCTATACTATTACCCCAGATGACCAGAGAGCATTCTGAAACAACCTCAACTTCCTGGGAAGCATACAGTGCAAGCAGCCATTTATTGGCGCTAAACACTAACATAGTGCAAAGATCTTCTGCTGTCTTTGGCCAGGTACCCATTCCCACCTGGGGTACTTTACCTTTACAAAGTTTTCAAGGATATATTTCTCTATCAATTTACCTGAGCAGCTTGGGATAAAAACTAGGAGGCACTGCTGGCAGGAAGTTGTAACATCTGTTATTTTGGAGCACTTTGCTCTTAGGACGAGGTTCAGGCCACATAGATTTCTGGAGGTGAGGTGGAAGGGGGGGGGGGGAGACAAACAAGAATTAGAAATAAACTTTATTTACCACTGAGGAACTAAAATAGTATGTAGAAACAGCTGGTAGTGTAGACAGGAAACAATCTACATTTGCCACTTTGTCCCCATCACTTTTGTATACAATACAATAAAACTATTTGCATTCGTCAAACTTTTTAATGTCCAACCAGATACAGGACAAGCCATTTCATGTATGGAGTACATGGTGTACCCCCCCCCCCCCTCCCTTCTTCCCCGGGCAAAAGTTAGTGACACATTTATTGAAAGAAGAGCAAGAAAGTTTGGCATGTTCCTGAACTATGAGTAGCAGATCTTGTATTCAGAACCTTACTCAAATTATGTACACAATCTAGCCAGACTGCCATGCACAAAAGCTATTTCAATAAATGGACATTGTTCATTGTTAATTACAAAAATCTGTTTCCAAGCTAAAAAATTTATGTTCTGAAGTTCTCCAATTAAAACTCCACAAATAGAAATTTTCTTCAAATTTTATTATGTTGGCAAAACTTCTCAGATGATTGCTTTCATACAGCTGTAAGCAGATTAGAAAATATGACTCACTGAACTCTCCTCCTCCTCCTTCTCCCTCCCCTCCTCCTCCTCCTCCTCCTCCTTCTTCTTCTTCCTTCTTCTTCTTCTTCTTCATCCTTTTCTTCTCTTTTGATTGTAAAGGTGCCGAGGATTACAAGTACACCCCTTCAGGTGAATGCAATTTATATGCCACAATCTCATTAGTAAAGGAGTGACATTTTTTCTCCACAGTTACCCTGTCTTCTGCCCAACTCTCTTTCATTTCACCAAGGGTGTGATTGAGAAAAAAAATAAACCAAAGAAAATCCATAATGTGGAGTCCGCCTTTCAGATGTTCAATTCATTAAAACAACAATAACTGAAAGTCTTCTTCTGCACTCATTGTCTAGGTCTCACGCATAGGTAAGTTTAGGTATCCAAAACTTATATAAGTTAATATGATTTCCAAGTTCAGAGACGTGCCCATTTATCCTTCCAATCAATAGGCTCCCTTATATTTGACACTCAGGCAGTCACATTGATCTTTAGGAGGGAAGTCTTTATCTTTCTTTTTTTTTTAACAAATCAGAAAGTTTCAGTTTTTGAATAGGAATTAATAACAATATAGACTTTTACTGATATTGCTCACCCGAGTGGGCTAGTTTCTTTTTCAAATTTCAGTTTCCAAGATATTTTTCACATACCATACATTCACACAGCCGATCTCCTTACTCAAGAAGAATAAGTGCTAGATTTTTACCTATACTAAGACCAAATATATGAAAAATTGGACAAAACAAAACGAAAAAAAAAAAATGCATCACAATATCTACCGACACTGCATACATAAATCCAGGGTCCAATCAAGAGCTTTAGCACCAGGCCTACGAGCCTCTTGCAAAACTTATTTTAACAAATCAAAAAGTAGTTTAGCCCTTCTTACCAGAATTTCATGATAATCTGGAACATCTTCCATGCGCACATATATGTATTTCTCTTTGTCCACACGAGCCCCAAGTGTTTTGGTTGGCACTGGCAGAAGGAGACCTTGGCGCTTGAGCAGTCCCAGAACATGAGCAGCCTGCAAGAGAAGATAACTGGTATAAGCCAGATAGCTCAAATACTTGCACGTTCAGAGAGGTAAGTGATATATACCCTAGCATATGATCAGGATAAGGTGCACCATACGATGTATTCATGTTACTCAATATAAAAATCTAGACAATATCTTTGCAAAAACGAATGCCCATTAGGTACATATCAAGATCTTACAGAGGAAGTTAGAGTGTTTTGTTGTTGTTGCTGTTGTTTTGTTGTTGTTGCTGTTGTTTTGTAATTTTGTAGGAGGGGGGGTCTGAGCGCTGTGAAGTATAGGACTCCTTTATAAGATACACTCGTGGAAAGGTGTTGGGGGGGGGGGGGGGGGTGAAGGGAAGGGGTTTTGCAAAGAAATATTACAGTATGACGAAAGTCTTGGCCACAATGTTATTTTGAGTTTTGACGTACTTCAACACAACAATATGAGTTTTGACGTATTTCAACGCAACAATATGTTATTTTGAGTTTTGACGTATTTTAACATAACATTATGTTATTTTGAGTTTTGACGTATTTCAACACAACAATATGTTATTTTGAGTTTTGACGTACTTCAACACAACAATATGTTATTTTGAGTTTTGACATACTTCAACACAACAATATGACTCAAAAAAGACAATCTCACATCTCCTGGTGCCTTTTGTCCAGCCAGGACTTTTCCTGCAGAACTGGCTGTCCAGAATGGAACTTCTTTACCAAGAAAGCCTAGGTAGATTCTCTCAGGGGGAGTCTCGGTGATCAGTTTTGAGCAGATCTCTTCATAGGCACGCATGTTGGTAGCACACAGGCTCACTTTTAGATTTGGAGTATATAAACATTCACCCTGTGAAAAGATATTAGGAGAAAATTTCAGCATTGAGTGTATGAAAAAATTTTGATTAACTTATACGAGACAAAGCATGGCAAGCAAATGGGTATGCAGTCAAAGCCTTAGCCAAAGTGCTACAGAAACGCTCTACACCGTCTATACTGAAAAAAAAAAGCATGCACTCAATAAAAATAGCTTTGAGAACCAGTAACCCTACTAGGCTGATACTAATGGGCTTATTAAAAGACCCACTATATTTAAACCTTGTGGATGGTGCAAGCAAATATGGGTCAATTTTTAGGGTCAATTGCAACTCAGAAGAATTTTCGCTGGAAAAGGAAATTTCAGATTCTGATTGGAACACATACAGAGCTATATGATTAGATAACTTCTCCACCCGGAGTGCTATGGCAAAGAGCCTAAACATGACACCACAGGTATTGATAGGTTTTGATGAACTGAAAAACCATTCAACTACAAATAACTTGTACTACAAATTGATCTCAAGTGATTTTTGCTCAGATTATAGCTTGTTCACTTTCCTCTGACCACTGTTCAAATAAGATAAAATAAAATCGCTCTGTTTAATCTTTCCAGATCTTTGCATATGGTTCTAAAAGTTGAATGACTAACAGAATTTAAAAGCTCATTCCTAGAGATCACTGCAAACTAAGATTCCGACACATTTTCTTTAAAGTAAGCCTAAAGTGGGTAAAAAAATAATTGGGGATTCACAGCATACACCTAAAACATTTAAAAGTTGACATATTTTCCTCAACACCACACTTTGACATTTGCCTAAGGAAGGAGATTCAAGAAACGGGGTGACTAATTTCCGAGACTAATGGGGAGCACAAGGATATGTCCAGACAGTCAGGGGATAAAATCTACAAGCTTATACTGAAATATGGGGGCAGGGTGGTGTCGCTGTCTCAAAATGAACAATTTGTACGCAAGGTTACTGTAAGTCATTTATTACAGTGATGCTGTGTATGCATCCAAAGAGCGGGTTTTAATATAGGGCACAAAGAGAAACACTTTTTCATTACTGGATCAAGATTTTAAAAAAAAAATTTGTTTCGTTGCTGGCCTGCAGAAGTGCCATGCCAAATTTCGTCAGCGTAGGTGAATTAATAAATGAAATTGAACTTTTTGTTTAATGCTGTCAGACGAAAATGATCAAACTATAGCAGTGGGTATTACACAGAAAATCACGCAGCAACAAATTCCTTAAAGAAAAAAAAGAAAGTCCCTCAAGCTGTGATCTAAGTATCTTACCCAGTTTTGTAAGAGATTGAGAACTTTTCCAAGGCGAGCGAATGAGAAGCGTTTGTGGGATTTTTCTCTTGCTTCCTTGTCTGTAGTATGGAACAGTTCCTTTTGAGAGGAGGCACCAAATCTTGGAAGCTGTGGAAATAATGATAAAGATAAAGCAATCCACTTTGTCTAGGATAGATCCACATATTGACTTGTTTTGCCTTAGACCCTGACATTTCTTGAAAAATTTTTTTTTTTATCATGCAAATCTCCTTTTACAAAAGAATGTACAGATAAGATTGATTTAACTCTTTATCTCCAGCAAACTGCTCCCAGCTTAAGAACCCCCCCCCCCCTCCACCCACTCTAATATTAATGAGTCGAAAATCAACAAAAAAAAATATTTTTGATCCAACCCATCATTTCAGCTGCTCTCTACTGAGCATGACAACATACGTCTCATTTGAAATGTTAATTTCTAATTCTGAGTAGTTGACTACAATTCATTAACACATTATATGTATTAACCCTTCCAGCTGTCAATTATTTCTGAACTCCACTTGCCTTGACTGGAGGATTATTTTAGCCTACACTGCACTGACACAAGGTTATGTCAGAATAACATTCAGAAAAAATGTCACTCTGAAGCTAGAAACTTGTATCATATGTCACAACAACCACAAATGAATGAAGAATTTTAACAAAATAGATATAAGATTTGGAAATATATTTTCTACTCACATTTATTGTTGTGTTTGTTTGCTTCGTCTGTGTGCTTTTGTAACTGTGTTCAGTAAGTTTGTAAACATGTTTTGTGTGATTATCCGCGAAACATTCAGGATGTGTGTGCATAGTTCACAACTGGAACATTTATTTCACCCTCTGTATCATTGATGCCATCCTCATACGTAGACTGTCAAGAAGATTGCATATGTTTTGATTTGATTGGGTTCTCATAACAAAGTTAGATCTAGTCAGAGCTGGTATTTCATTCGCGCGCTAAAAGGAAGAGTCTGGTTTTTCATTCCTTTTGTGAGAGTGTAACAATCATGTAAAAGATTATTGCTACATGTGAGGTATCAGCACACTGACAAATTTCAGTCCTAATCAACTCAAAAACATGAACGCTGCACTGGACAGAATTGGAATATGGGGTGGTGGCTTCACTTGACGCTGAATTTTCAGCTACATTTCACAGCAAGTTTAAGTGATAAAGGCTATATTTTATAATAAACCTGCTACAATAACAGCAACACTAGAATGGTAGGAGCTTACCATACTATAGCACCCATCAGCCACAAACTGATCTGCATTACCCACTTCATCTATTGGGTGGTTGAAGGGCAACCTGGTACATTCTACTTTCATTCTTTCACTCTTTTGTTTCTGTTGGCCTATCTCACTCCTCCCCATCCTCAAATGCCCATACTTAAACAATGTGCATCTCTTTACTCAAACAAACAAACTCACCTTGTCAGCAATATGCAGCACAGTCTTTTCCCATTCACAGTGCAGCCAAGGGACCCTCTGAGCCACCAGAGAAACACATTTATTCAGCGTGGACACCACCTCCTTCTGAAAGTTCTGCTTTGTCTGGAGTACATAAAATTCACATTTTACCAACACATATTGTGACCAGTGAATAAAGATGAAAATTAAACAATGCTCAGAAATAATTCTTAAAAAGTCATTACACTTAAAAGTTAACTTAGGAAAATGAGAGTTATAAAATGAGGGAAGAAATGGAATTACCACTGTCATGTTGATCAGTAAACTGGACTGTCCATTTTGGTCATACAGATTTGCCAAGATATCCAAAACGCCAATACCCCATTCCATACCCTGTTGTCCTTTGAAGTCAAGACACTCCAGATGCCAAGTCCTCCTGGGAAGTAAAGGTCACTTGCTTTATGATCATGAACATATTCATACACACAGCAACATAGTCACAGATATACAATATAAAATGTGAATGGACGTGGTGGAATTAGGCGCTCATCAAAATAATGAAATTGAAGAAACAGGCAATTTTTCTTGAATTTTTTTTTCCGGCTTAACACCATTGTTGTCCAATTAAAAACAAAATTCTGGGTATATTTTACTAAAAAAACGTTGATTAAAGGCACAAAAGATGTAAGTTTTTCAGTTTCCACAGACTATCAAGCTATGTAAATAACCAGACTTTGGCGGTCATTTTCTCACTAATTCTACATTTGAAACTATGCGACCCCTCCTTCTTCAATTTCAAATATCTTGACTTCTATTCAACATAGACGGGCATTTTTTCCCCCGATAGCAAGAAAAGTGAATAAGCTTTAAGATTATACAAATAACTCAACATGCCAAAAAATTAAGGAGCGCCTGATTCCATCACGTCGTGACACATATAGTCACACAAAGCTAGCAAAAAATTCAAACACTTTCAAGAACACATATCTTGTGGTCACATACTCTATACGAGAGGAGCCATTTTTATAATGGTTTGAGAGATGCCATCTGATGTGACATGTTGTAACATTGACAGTTTTTATTCCCTCTCCAAACTGAAATTCTTTAATAAAAGTGATGTACAATTTAAGTTCCATGCATATTCGCATGTGTTTTAACCCTTCCTCTTATGCCACAAAAATTTTACACAGCGACAATAGATATATACTATCTTATGTTTTATCTTATTTCATCTTATCTTATCTTATTTTACCTTACCTTATCTAAAATGCAGTAAAAAATAGACCTATAATATAACTATTGACTTGGACCACATGACCCTCTCACTAGTTGCCACGAGTGTGAACAAATCCCATGAGAACACTTTCACACCACACCCCCTTGACAAATATTAGCATCAGAACATCTATAGAACAAAAAATTGGTAATTCAACTTGTCAACGGGCTTGAGGGCGCAGGCCTGGAACAAGAAGAATAACATAATTATTTGCAAATATTAACATCCTTTCCAAAAGATCCACTTACTCGGTTACTCCAAAAGTTGCAGTAGTCAGAGCTTTGACTAGAAACTCAATCTTTCCCTTCACGAGCTGCAACATTTGAGAGTCTCCACCACTTTGAGAAATTTCCACCAACAAAATCACCACATCTGGACACTAGTATACAGAAGAGAGATTAACATAAGACAAAAATCTAAACAAAACTCATTTATTTTACGATACTAATATCACCATTCCAAACTGATGACATGAGCAAAGCTAATAATTCTTGTGATAAGAGAGATAAACAGGCAACAACAGCTTCAAGACAAAAGATGAAATAATAAAGTCCTTGAATAATGATGGATCAAATAGGTTGGAAATACAGTGTGATTCAAAAGTTGCCACAAGATGTGCTAAGATCATTCATTCAGTTCTTTTGAAATGAGAACTTAATTCAGAGGTCCCGTGCAAGTTTTGAGAAGGGCACAGATCTAAAAGCTGGCTGAAAAATCATAAATGACATAAATGAACAATATAGATAAACAGCATTTTGCTGAAAAGAAATAACTTTGCTATTGTGATTATGAAAAAAAAAGGAACTGTTTCTATGCTTGATGTTCTATTTTTATTAAAATGTTATTGACAGAAACCATTTGCCATTTCATAGATTCACAAACCGCTGATTCACAGTTTTTCTCTGAAAAGAATTCTTAAATTATAGGTCATGAAAGCTTCCTGTCCACAATAGAATTACCTTCACTTTTGAAAGTAGACGAAGAGTAAGTTTGAGTAAATTTAGAAAATCTCAGCCAAATGTAAAGAAACACTGTTCAATTCAAATAGCGAAGGAAAACTTTTCAACTAAATATTGCTGCAAGAGAGTCAACGGGTCATACAGCCTGGTATAAAAAAAACCCAGCTACGAATATAAAAATCATCTGCGCTGTCAGACGAAAACCCGACAGTTTGCTACCACGAGGCCAAAGTAAGGGAATGAAGACAAACAAGAAATGCTATACCTTATTAATAACCACACCCACAGCTTCAGTTAGCTTTTGTGCATAAGAGTCCATCTCTGATTCCTCTGTGATTGTAGGATAAGCTATCATCACAATGCATCCTTCTGAAATAAGGCTGTCTTGAAGAGGCTGGTGAAATGAAAGGGAAAAGATGAGACTACTTTCTTCTACTCTGTAAGAAAGTTGGATCATAAAAATGTAAATGGCTATGAGACAAAACTCTTTGTATCAAAAGAGTGAAAAAAGAAGAGAACACTGATTATTTGGTTCCTAGTCTGTATTCTGTGGAAGCAAAAACAGAATCAAAGCTGAACAAAATAATTGACTACAGTAAGTTTTGATACCAAATATTTATGTGGCATCGCAGTGAAACCAGGCGCTCATCAGAATAAAGAGACCGAAGAGCCCAACAGGCTCTGCCCTTTGGATTATTCTTATCTTTTTTTTTTAGCTCCACACATTTGATGTCCATTTAAAAACATAATTCTGTGTGAATTTTACTGAACAGCGTTGAAAAAGGATAATTGTAACTTGCAGAATAATCCTTTTTTTTTCAAAAACCAGTATCAAAGACGGACCTAATTTCAAAACATAAAATGTCTCACACTATTAATCTGGGTCTCCAGAATGTTGAAGAAATTCAAGGCACCATCAGGGTCATCTGATTTCACTTCCCATGATTCACGATATGCAAACACAGAATTGCCTCCCACAGCTGTGCTTCCACAAAGAAGGGGGATAACACCTTCTTGAAACTTTTGATCTCGAAGTATCACCAACTTCTGTTTCTGTGGTGTGAAATAATTATCAGGATCACCACCTAGAAAGAAAAACAAAACAATAAAAAAGTGATTAATTGTTGAAAAAAGAGCAAGTAAATATACACCTTAAAAGGAACCAAGAAATATTTACAAGAAAACTTTTTTTTTACAAGCTAAGTCACCACCATTTATGGGGTAGTGAATAAACTCCCCGCCATCACTGAAGATGTTTGTTTAGTTCCTCAATGGGGAAGCTTTTTATCAAGTATTTTCCTTTGTCTGCTATGATGCTGTATCCTGCTCAGCCCAGGCTGGCCCTCGATAGGCAGGGTCAAAGTAGCCCGCTACATTGTGTTCAAGATCCTCACTTAGATGCTAACCTCTTGCTTCACTATGTTGGTCAGCGCTCATATGACCTTAGCAGTTGCGAGCGCCGTAAAACCTTATACTATACATACTATACTATGTTGGTCAACTTGATTAGGAATGCATTACAACAGTAAGTCCTGCAAATTCTGTATTAGAAAAAAATTCAAAACAAAGATTTTGTATTGGACAGATTATAACATAACATGACAGACTTCTGTTCAAGTTTATCACCCTGGTAGACACAGAATAGGCAATTTTGAAGACAAGGCGCTTTCAGCTTACAAACATCCCAACTCTGGCACTATATAGTAATCCCAAGAAGGCCAGCCAATGTACATGGTCTTTAATTCAACCAACATGCAGTGTTCTTTCTCTACTAGCCAGGCAGGTGCCACAGAAAATGAAGTCGAATGACCACATAATGCCATTGTGTGGAAAACATTTTACGGAAGGCTTTTTTTTTGGGTAAGGTTTTATGGCGCTCACATTTGAATAAGGTCATATGAGCGCCAAAGTGTTGATGTCAACAGAAAAGTCCAAACGGGGAATCAGATTTATTGCATTCACCTCTGTAACCTCAACAGCACAAAGTCTGCTTCTACTATCAAGACACCCCGGAAATAGTGGGTCACAAGAGTGTGACAAACATACAAAAGAAGTAGAGGACAAATGACGATAGTAAGAATGAAGAAAGAAAAAGCAGCAGTTCCCCCTATGTTGTTCCAGGACAGTGTGGGCATGACATTGATAAATCAGCCCATTTACAATTCTACTGTGCATAATAACATGTCAATATCCCCCCTTTGGGAATGGCCTAAATACACTTCAGTTAGTAGCACTGTCCTGAGGGGGAGGGGGGGAGGGGGGTAATGGAAAGCTTACCCATACCTGACACAATTAGTACAAAGTATCAATGATGTCTGAGGGGGGCGGAGGGGAGGATTAACTTTTTTTTAGAGGTAAGGTTATTCCTCTCATACTAAGAACCTGGCTGGATTTCAAGTTCAATCAACCAATTTCGACAAAAGAGAAAAAAATGTTCTTCATTAAAAAATGTATTAATTCAAGTACAACAGTTTTGTAATCATCGTAGACAAGATAATAAACATTATAATTCTTGCCCCTCTTTCAAATGTACACTACACAAGACAGATGCCATAAAGAAACGTATATTGTTAGCTGTAAATTAAGCGTTATGTTTCTGCACTCTTTGTTTAGGTCTCATGCTTTCATGCTATATATATTTGAAATGAAGGTGAGACATTATCCAAGTACTTTTCCAGTAAGAAGCCTATCGTTCAGCATAAGTTTTTTCAGATTCGCAAATCTATTGACCGAAGTAGAGTGTCCTTCGATCAACAGACTGAACAGCACATCTGAGAGCATGTGGCTTGGCTAGTGTTTGGAGAAGTACAGAACATCCTCAAAGTTTTTATCATAATATCATCCACATACTAATCTTCAAGCTCCCTGATGATCGCAAGTTATTTTTGAATGTTCACAACTCCATAACCTGTATGTAACTCTGAGAATAAATAGTTGAAATTACACAACGCAAGTAGGGTAAAGCAACAAAAACAAATATGTGAGGCAGCGTGGTGGAATGAGGCTCTCGTCAAAATAATCAAAGTGAAGAAACTTGCATTTTTCCTCAGGTTTGTGAATTTTTATAAAATTTTCGTTTTTTGGCTGAACACCTTTCATGCCCATTAAAGAACTCATTTCTGTGTGGATTTTTCTGAAAAACGTTGATTAAATTCACAAAAAATGTTAATTTTCAGTTACCACGGACTCTTAATCTAAGGAAATAACTATTTTTTGGTGGCCATTTTCTCACTAATTTTTCCTCTAAAAACAGGTGACCCCCAGCTCCTTTATTTGCTAATATCTTGACTTGTATTCGAGATAAATGGGTATTTTTTTCATCCAAATAAAGACAAGTGAACAAGCTTCAAAATGATACCTATAACTTTACATGTCCAAAAATTGACGAGAGCCTGATTCCACCACGCTGCCTCACATATAGTTAACAGGAAGAAAAAGTAAATTAATGAAAAAGGTAAAACAAGTTTCCAATGCCACTAAAATTAAAGGATGTAGCATATCTCTGCACTTAAGTTGCATGCTGTTCCAGCTTGAAATAAATAGATGCAAAAGAAAATAATGTTCTACTATTTTAAAGATATTTCAATGAACAGGCTATATTATTTTCAGAGTAAACATTCCTTCAATGTGTACCACAAAAATGTCTTACATAAGTGCAGTAACAGTCTAGTGCCAATTATTTTTTTTATATAACTAAAGGGTTCCCTTACAAAACATACTATGTGGCAGCGTTTAAAAAACACATAGGCACATTGATTTTCGCCCACTTCAGAGTTCAGAACCCATTTTGCACTGAAATTTCAAATCTGCAAAGACAGTGTTGAAGACTACAAAGCATTTCATTTTCAAAAAATCAAGATAGACCACTTTAACATTTTGCAGTCACTTGGCGCAATAACGTGCCAGTGAAAATTATCCGTTCTGGTCACCTAGCGCAGTTCTGTGCCAGGTTCGAGAAGTCCGTTGCAGTCGCTCTCCTGGCTGGGTGACCATGGGGTATTTTGTACTGTTGGCTGTGTGACTGCAAAGTGTTAAGGCAGCACCAGGACGAATAAAAAGATGCTGGCCACTAATTTTGTTTGGAAGTCGGACACACCATGTTTTGTTCCATTTTAGAACCCTAAGAGTCTCCTTATTTTCAAGACTTGCAACCCTTCAATCAACCAATTTCGACAAAAGAGAAAAAAATGTTCTTCATTAAAAAATGTATTAATTCAAGTACAACAGTTTTGTAATCATCGTAGACAAGATAATAAACATTATAATTCTTGCCCCTTTTTCAAATGTACACTACACAAGACAGATGCCATAAAGAAACGTATATTGTTAGCTGTAAATTAAGCGTTATGTTTCTGCACTCTTTGTTTAGGTCTCATGCTTTCATGCTATATATATTTGAAATGAAGGTGAGACATTATCCAAGTACTTTTCCAGTAAGAAGCCTATCGTTCAGCATAAGTTTTTTCAGATTCGCAAATCTATTGACCGAAGTAGAGTGTCCTTCGATCAACATAAAGACTACAAAGCATTTCATTTTCAAAAAATCAAGATAGACCACTTTAACACTTTGCAGTCACTTGGCGCAATAACGTGCCAGTGAAAATTATCCGTTCTGGTCACCTAGCGCAGTTCTGTGCCCGGTTCGAGAAATCCGTTGCAGTCGCTCTCCTGGCTGGGTGACCATGGGGTATTTTGTACTGCTGGCTGTGTGACTGCAAAGTGTTAAGGCAGCACCAGGACGAATAAAAAGATGCTGGCCACTAATTTTGTTTGGAAGTCGGACACACCATGTTTTGTTCCATTTTAGAACCCTAAGAGTCTCCTTATTTTCAAGACTTGCAACCCTTCAATATTTACCGTGGAAAGTTGTCATGTATGTTTTGCCCTGAGAGATCATCGGACAACCAGCCCATTGAATTGCTCCTCTGGGTACCGCACAGTCCACTGAAAAATGGCAAGAGACAAATTGGATTGATCAAACAACCATACAGTGACCCAGGAAGAAAAGAAAATCTTTTTACACTGACACAGTATGTCCGTTTATCTGTGTGTTTATCCTCGTGTCTGTGAATACACAACCTTGTTTCATTATGCGCAGAGTCAAAAATAAAAAGATTTGTGGAACAAGAGATAAATTTTATTCTACTGTACAACATTATGTTGTAAATAGTGGAATCTGAAAATACATTTTCCCTTTCAAATGTTTTTTCATATTTTTTTTTACTGATTCACTTGTTTTGGTATTCAGACATTTTTTAGAGTACTGACTTTTAAAAATCTATTTTCTTATTCAAGTTGTTTTCTCTGCCTATAGTATTTTAACCGTAAACCTTGAATTTTTCACCTTCAAGGAAGTAGTATCCTAGTTGCAGTACTTGTAGACCTCAGACTGCTATACATAGAACTTACTTTTTCCTACTTTTTCTCATTAAGCAAAAAAAGAGTGGCTTCTATTTCAAAAGTAATCATTGAAATAAAAAGTAGCAAATAAGGCATGTATAACAAGAAAAGACACGCTAAAGTACACACTCATATTGTATGTTATAGGTCATTAAAGTTACTGTCTCTTGTCTGTTCATGAAAGCAAAAATAATGAGACCTTATGAAAGTAAACACAAATATTTTTTAAATTAATGAAAAACATTTAAAACAATCAGAATTTTTCTGATATGAAAAATGATGTTCATGCAACTGTCATGCCTACATTTTTTTATTTAGATATGGAAAAACTTCCAGTTCAGTTGGAGTAACTAATATTATGTGATGGAAATTTTAAATCTTGTTCTTTCTTTCAACTTTATCTGCTTTGAAACTCGCACACAAGTGAATTTATAAGCATATAATACAACCCAGAGTCAAATCATACCTATAGAATCGGGAATACACGAAATTCCACAAGCCATCACAGATACATTCTGCAGACTTGACAGCTGGGAAAAAGCCAGATGTATGCCTTTCTCTGTCACATTCTTCAGGCCGTTGCACTCCAACTGTAAAGTATTGATGCAGTGTGATTTATGCACATTTCACAATACTTGCAAACAAATTTATTCAATTTATATTCTTATTCGGCTCTTTCACACTACTGTTTCTTGTACCCCTTTGTAAAATGAAAGGAATAATATAAGTGCAGCCTTCCTCATCCTTTCATATTCCTTGACTCTAAGGAAGACAAGTTTTGACAACAAATTTGGTGGTCCTCTGCAGCTTGCCAACAGGCTCTTACAATTTCTCCTAGAAAGACACAAGGGCTTAACAAACCACTTCTCTCGGTTTCCAAAGTTTTCTGCACATCTGAAAACCAGGCTGTGCCATCTGGTCAGCCTGCACCCCTCTCTCTCTCTCACTCTCTCTCTAACTCACTCTCTCTCTAACTCACTCTCTCTTTAACTCACTCTCTCTCTCTAACTCACTCTCTCTCGAACTCTCTCTGTTTCTCACTCTCACCCTGTCGCTCTCTCATTCTCTCTCTATCTCTTTTACTCTCTCTCTCTCTCTTTCACTCTCACCCTATTGCTCTCTCTCCCTCTCTCCCCTCTCTCTCTGAGCGTCTCTCTCTCTCTCTCTCTCATTATCTCTCTCTCTCTTTCTCTCTCTCTCTCTCTCTTTCACTCTCTCTCTCTCTCTTTCACTCTCATCCTGTTGCTCTCCCCCCCCTCTCTCTCTCTTTCTCTCTCTCTCACACACACACACACACACCTTCTTTCTCATCACAAATGCACACAGACACATTATTTTCAGAGAGCACACTTCAAATCAAATCATCCAATGAAGGTACAATGAGTCTGTCTTCAGCAGTTAGACTCACAACTCCTTCCTTGCAATCAGAACACAGTAGTCCAGTATACTATAGGTTGTGAGACAGTCCGCTAGTATCTTAAGTATCTACCTGGATACTAGCAGCAGAATCCTTTTCCTCCGCTCTTGCCTGGCTTGGTAACGTGAGCACATTCATCTGTGTATGTTTGTATTCATACTTCCCGTGGATGCATTTCCCACACCCTAGCCGGTATCAGAGCTCTCCAGACTCTCATGAAAACTTCGTTCATGGTAATGATTTGTGGTGCAGATCTTCAAACCACTGGTTTTTTTATTTTTTTTATTGGGTTGGGTTTTTTTTATGCAGGTGTTTTCCACCCCTTTTGGCACAATGTAGACCATTTAGGAAGTGAATTTTGACCCTGCCTTTCTGGATCAACCCGGCCTGAGAGAAATACAATGTCCCAGTTAACTAAATCAGATACTCAATAAAAATTCTCCCAACATGGGAATCATACTTGGGTGGTGTGCTTGCAATAGTGAAGCACCTAACTACTATTCCACAGAAACCGGTTAAACCACTGTATGTGGCTCCTCCAAAACATGGGGCTCTCCAGCAGGTTGAATTAGTCCATAGCTAATGAAAGTTGCTCCTGGAGATCTCTTTGAAGGGTTTTAATTTTCCAAAGAATTTAGACCATTACAATTTCCAAGAGAGTTCGAGTTGGGGAAAATTATAAATTAAGCAAGCTGATGTATTCATCAACCTTTTTAAACAAAATTTCGAAAAAGGAAAAAACAATTTTTTCATCAACTGATCCCTATAATCAGCTTGGTATACAGTTTCAAAAAAGATAAGCTGACATGAAAGTCCATAGTATCTCCAACCAGCCTGCAGTTCAACACGTACCTCATTACATCTTTATGCCAAAAATGAAAGTGTTGGACGCATCTAGTTGTTTAGATATAGATGAAAAATTAACAATGACCATGCAAAATAAAATGATTCATCATTCACATTTTCAGCCAGTGTAAAAATAAGACACTTGCACTTCGACAGACATAAAATGTGAATCACTGCCTCTGGCAATTAAAACAAAAATAAAAGGCTGTGGATATCAAGCTTCCCTTCCACCATAGCCTCTTGGAAGAATATCAAACAGGAGAAAATTGAGTTTCTTACCATCATGAGATTAGGGAAAAGCCTTGTAATCCAAACAAAGGCTCTGTCCGTCACATTGATGCAGCCTGCAATGTAATCACAAATGAAAATTAAACAAAATAAAGACCTTGACAGATTTGAGCTCATTCATAATTGAATTCACAATTGAAAACAAAACAACAATGTGCATTTTAAAAAAACTTTATAAAGTAGTTCTTTAGTCACTGTGTTTCAAAAGAGTCAATGGTGAGAGTTATGAAATACAGTGTTAAGTATGTGCATGAGTACTTAACTTGTCCCTATTAAGCTCTTCATGACAAATAGTCAATACTTCTTTGAAATTGACCAAAGAATAAAACAATGCATAACTGGTCAAGAGCAAACGAGATATGATATTTAAATATAACTGTTGAATTGTAGGCACAAGACACACATGGCACTTATTTGTTTTTTAAATTTATTTGTGAAGTGTGCTGACAAAATGAGTTACTTCTCGGATTCAAGCCTTATGGAAGTAGAAACATCATGCTTATAATTTTTTTTAGAGGTAAGGTTATTTCTCTCATACTTAAGAACCTGACTGGATTACAAGTTCAACCAACCAATTTCCATAAAAGAGAAAAAAAAAATTCTGCATTAAAACATGTATTAATTCAAGGTATATACAACAGTTTTGTACTCATCGTAGACAAGATGATAAACATTATAATTCTTGCCCCTCTTTCAAATCATGTACACTACACAAAACAGATGCCATAAAGAAATGTATATCGTTAGCTGTAAATTAAGCGTTATGTTTCTGCACTCTTTGTTTAGGTCTCATGCTTTCATGCTATATATATTTGAAATGAAGGTGAGACTTTATCCAAGTACTTTTCCAGTAAGAAGCCTACCATTCAGCATCAATTTTTTCAGATTCGCAAATCTATTGACTGAAGTAGAGTGTCCTTCAATCAACAGACTGAACAGCACATCTGTGAGCTGATCGATTCCATTAAAGTTGAGGGTGACCAAATCCGCTGCCACATTCTGGGACACAATAGCGGGCTGGAAGAAGAGGGATCATAGTTGTTGTTATATTGTTATCGATCCAGTAAGAAGAGGGGTAAAACTGAGACAAAAATGTGTTTCTTTTTGTCTTTTTGATAGTTTACACACTACTAGACAAAACAAATGGATTATTTTATTGGTAAAGCATTTGGTTCCAACACAGGACACTAGGGGAGAGGAAGTTCAAAAGAACTGATTCTGCCAAATATCAACAAAAAAGTTCAACATGCCGAAGGACCATGGTGAATGACATAAGTTGACTGAAACCATTGACATATCTGTTTTGTTTTCACAAATATTTGTATTTCCAGTATTTCCAGTATTTCAATTCTTTATTTTTTTACACCTACTGATGATGATCCTCTTAATTCAGAATTATGGCAAGGAATGATTGCAAGTCAGAAGTAACCAAAAAAAATTACAGACAAAATGCAATCTCAAGTTGGCCTTCATGAAAAAAGTACATTTCCATTACAATAAATTACTACAGTAAAATAGGATAATCATGGGCCAACAGTTATACCATTTTGCTTAGTTTGTTCTTTTGGTTATCACTTTTTTTTTCTCAAAGTACAAAATCATTTCCTTTTTTACCCCACCCTTCTGACTTTTCAGGCTGCTTCTAATTGTTTTCACTTCAGGGACAAAGAGCTGTATTGAGCTGTTGCCTGTAAGCTGCTCTGTGGCCAGGCCAGTATAAAAGAGAATTTGTAAATAATAATAACATCAATTTCTACATGGTGGCATGTCAAATGATAAGAATATCTTTCATTCAGATGACAAGTACCAGAAGGCCCTATATATAGCTCTGGTGTGCTGAGAATAGATGCAATGGACACAAACACCCCCAAAAAGTCATACTAAGAGAAAAAGATGAACCACGAGGAGCTGCCTAGGCTGTATGGAAAAGTTTCACAAGCAAAAACTAATGTGAAGAAAAGTATTACCTTCACAACATGAAGAGGAAGGTATTCTGGAGGAAGGTCAAGAGTCCTCTCATATTCATCCTCAAACAGCTCTTTTCTTGCCAGAGATGCTTTTAAGACAATAGAAAATAGTTACATACATACAAAATTCTATTAGTGAATGAAAAGCAGAATACAAAATACTATTCAATGAGTAATGTACCGGTATCTTGCAAAAGAGAGTAAAACCAAGACAGTAAATGCATGCATACTTCAACAAATCTTTCTTTTCGCATATTTACTGCTTACTTTATCTATGACCATTGCAGATTAAAGCTACTTGAAGTCTGTAACTTCAATACAACTGTGATAACTAACAGCAGAATAGTAACATAATGAGGCATGTGATGCACGAAAAGAAAGCAAGTAATTTCATACCTCTTTTGCACTTCGTCACAATGATCCATTTGTTTTCTATTATCTTATATTCTCCCTTTTTCATTGTTCCACATGAGCTGAAAGCCACATATTGTGAAATCACCTTCAATATAAAGATAATTATTTCTTAGTGAAACAGGCATGGTTCATTGAGCCAAAGTCAACATATACAATCTTCCATCACGCACTACCCTAGAAGATATTACAACAAACACCTTAATGAAAAGAGTCTGCACTTACTTGGATTATATTCTGCCTTGCGGTCTACCTTCTTCAGCTGGCGCTTCTGATTCAACAGATCAGTTTGAAGTGGCACAACTCTTCCAGCTCCATATTCTTGAGGAGGCCTAGCCAGCAATGCATTCACCAGAGGTGATACTTTATTTTTATTATCAGCTTTGGGAACACTATTTGATTGAGGTATGGGAGGAGGGGGACCTGGGACGGACGGTGGTGGAGCTGGGGGAGGGACACTGGGGGGAGGTGGTGGAGCTGGGGGAGGAGCTGGGGGAGGGACACTGGGGGGTGGTGGTGGAGCTGGGGGAGGAGCTGGGGGAGGGACACTGGGGGGTGGTGGTGGAGCTGCAGAAGGGGCAGTTTGGGATTGGGGTGATGGTGCGCTTTTTCTATCCCCTGTCGGAAGGACAGAAGCAGCGGGTAACGGCTGAGGTGGAACTTTAACTTTGGAAACGCCAAGAGAAGTTCCAGCATCCTCCTGAGCACTAAGATGGCTGCTCTTGCTTGGGTTACTTTCTTGTGTCAAGGATGAGTTCTTGGCTGATGATGCACTGAGTGCTTCATCCTGCACTTGAGCAGTAGGAGCAGCCTTTCTTCTTGAGTAGCTTTTTCTAATGTGTGTAGAATCACTTCTAGAACTTTGTTGAGGATGAGAAGTTGGTTCTGCTAAACCATCCTCTGATGTTTGATCACTCTTGGTGCTGGCTTCTGACCCTGGTCTCTGGGCATTTTCTGAACTTTTACCAGTCTTATTTTTGTGTTTATACATTCTGGCTGCAATAGAAAATATTTTGAAAAAGATTATTTTCCTGTCATTTAGAGCATAAGGCAAAATACTCCATTAACCCCTTTCGGGCCACTCTCATAAGCAGTCACAAGAACCGATTATGTAAGCTAACAATTAAATTGGTGGAGTCATCTTATGTAAGCTAACAATTAAATTGGTGGAGTCTACCTCAAAACGGTAAAACTCCTAATAATTTCATGGCTGCTGTGAATGTTAGCCTTTTTTTCCATGACCTTTTATCAACCTACAATAATGAGTATGTCATGAAAGGTTAGAATATAAAGACAGACATATTTGAAACCAAATTGATAAAACCTTTGTTGTATTATCATCTGTGCTTCTTTTCTTCCTGTTTGTGTATTCGATCACAGCTTTAGTTAAAGTTGCTGTTAGAAAATCTAGAGAACAATTATTATTCCCACAACAAGTTTCAAAATTATAATTATTTTACATTTTGCCAAAAGAGCGAATAAATATTTAATGACATATTTTCTCGATTATATTGGTGGGTGAACATACAATAATATATTAATTCAGAATTCATTTTCATTTGCATCTCAATATGAGCCTCAAAAAGTTTTGTTAATTATATTCTTGATGTGGTACAGATTTCCGTGTTTGCATTGGCCTCATCCCAACCTGGTTCTTTGTCTCACTTAGCCTACCCTGTCAAACAAGTATCAAGCTTGCCCCTGCACACACCCACACACACACACACATATGAAACAGCGTAGAGTAGGAAAAGTATGGCACGAGAACCGACCTATAATTCTAGCTTAGATTTTATTCCAATCCACATATCCATGTTCAGACAAAATTGCACGCTTTCAACACAAGAGCGCTGGAATGTTTGTTCAAGGCACAGAATTCTACACGTTATTACAGTGTAGAATTCGGTGGTTCACGGTGAACGCTAACTGGTTGGCCTAGGCTATCGCACAGTGAACGCACAACGGGTGAGAATAGCCAAAATGCTTTCCTGTGCTATTGTCTGTGTTTTTTTGTTGTTCCCACACCCCCTTGCCTTATTTGAGCCTAAATCTACACATACATGATAGATTCTACATCTAATGGTCTAGATCCCGATGTGCGGCTAGCATAACAACTGCAAAACATCAAATTATGGTTTAATTCAGGGGGGCATGTCTCCCTGAACCCTCCCCCCCCCCTCATATTTTTGTAGCCCCCCTGAAACCCCTCTTCTCTTGGGGCCAAAACCGGCGAATAACAATTGCAGGGTGGGAACTTCCGAAAAAGCGCCCTTATATTCTCACCCGGGGATAGGTGGCCATAACTATAACGACCAGATCTAACAACTCTAGAAAATGCAGGATTATTTGCTCCAAACATTGAATTAAAACTGCATTTCATTATGAAATGAGCAAATTATCAAAACACTTACTGTTTACTGTGCATTATGCTTTAGCGCACATCTTATTCTTGGCTATCTTCTGAGCTAATTTAGGGTCCCGTAACGTGTAGCCAAGGAAGCTTTCGGTAAATGTTTGCCACAAATAGGGTGTGTATTACGACATCGACGAGGGTTAAATTTTAATGAGAGTCGCTTCCCTTTGGGGCTGGGTCCTACCAGAGAGGGTTTACAGAAATAGAGAGGTGACACTCGTGGCGGCGCTCCATAACAACAATGTATTGTTTCGCGTACCGCCCGGCGCGGGGCGTGAAAACACTTACGCGCGGTAGTCGCTCCCACGGCGATGCTCAGGGATGCTGCCATGTCATGAGAAAATGTAGTGCCGTCTGTAGTTAGTTCACTGGGTTACTAGGCCTTTAACAAAGAATGATGCCTGTGGATTCTATCGCATATTTTAGGCAACCCCCTGCCTCCCTCGGCCATAAACTGTAAGACTTGATTTTGGCGTAAGTTAACATACATTCTATCTAATAAACAAATACGCAGATACATTACTTCGTCTCTATAGATCTGAAAAAATAATATCCCCTTAATTAAAGGAATAACTGGTTTAATTTTCAGCAAATCTACTCGTTCGGATCTCTAGTGTCCTTCTGTGATCTCTCTCTCTCTCTCTCTCTCTCTCTCTCTCTC